ATCACCAGCTTTGCCGCTATTGCTGGACAAGTGAAAATGGCGGTGCTGCCAAAGGATTTCCCAGAGGTTGCTCTACTTACCGATCAGCAAACGTCTCTAGAAAAAGGATCTACAAGGAAACATAAGGATCTACAAAATGTGAGTCAGCTGCGTTTTGCGGGGATACATTTTCGGATGGGCATGATCCTCATAGATTGTGTATCTCAAGAATCGGCGAATTGGTTGGTAGAAATCGCACCTAAGCTTAAAAATTGGCAAGGACCAGAACTGGTTGCAGTGAAGGGAGAAAACATCCCTAAAGGGGCGACCATAACGGTCTTTCTGCCGAGGAGCAAGGGGAAAGACACCACCTGCTGAGCCTTATCCAAGGTCAGAACTTCAATTTAAGGACATCGAGTTGGCGAGTCATCAACTCGAGGGAGGAGGGTCATGATCAGGTCCTCACAATAGGACGGGTTCCAGACTCACGGGTTCCAAACCTCATATTCAAGGAGGCAATAGAGAAAAAGAGACATCCTCTATTATAGATACGGGACAACACCGATATCAGGTCTTAGGAGAGACCAAGTTAAAGAGGTGGAGAAAATGGAGACATCCAGCCTCCAGCCTCCACCTCACGGGTTCCTCAGCCGTAGGCAAGCTCATCGACTGTGAAGGGTGGCACGGAGGGCCAAACTCCAACCGTGGAAGGGTGTGTACCTGCGGAGGAAGAACTGTTGTCAGAGGAGGATGGGAAATACTCTGTCCCCTCTACAACAGGGGTATGATGGGTTATAGATTGTGTGATAAAGGGGAGCACAATAGATCTTTAAGGTCGCAGTGATTAACTCCCCGCCCCTCTACATTCTACAAGAAATGCTGAAAAATATATTTTTATTTATTTATTAATATCTCTGAAACTATCGAAATATCTTAAGATTGTGTAAAGTGATCTGAAAGGAAGCCAAAAAATTCAATAATCTACAGGATGTTTCATTCAAAAAAATCATCCCGATCCACTCACACTTTTTTGAGTCACTCTATAGAAGTTAAAAGATTCTCATAAAATATATCCTAGTACATACTTTAGGTTTGCACTTAAACAAAATTCCTAAGTTTTTTTTATTTTAGGAGTTACAGAGATGCCTGACGCACTATTGCCATAATCCATAATGACCCTGTATTGAACCTCTTTTTAACTCCTAAAAAACGAAATTTAAAGCTGGTTCCACACCAATCCGATCCTGTCTCGATCGGTACCGAAAGGAAGTGCAGAAACATCGTGCCCCTCGTTATTCTATCTCCTTCTCTCTCCCTGTATCTCCCTGTTGCCGCGAATTAATTATACTGTTTTTCTTTAAATTTACACCGATATCGACGTAACGTATTCTGCGGGCCTCGCCTTTCTAATTCATTCCGTTTTTGTTTTCCTTCTCCTTCTCTCCGTTTTTTTCTTTCATTTTCCGGACGACCAATTTCGTATTAATCGAAATATGATTGAAGAACCGTTCGATGTGAGAGAGGAAATTATAGAGGCAAAGCCAAGGGCGTAACAGAACGAACACTGCGGAACATGGCGATATTGGAGAAAAATATGAGGAAAACGTGGAGTATTACGTAATAAGTGTGGTAAGTAGGTTTTCAGTGCATTGTAAAGGCTAGGATCGTTTCATTAGATTCTGCAACCACATAAACATTATTAACACTGAATGTAAAAATTATATTAATTTATAAACAACATTAAGATTGTAAAAAAAACATTAGAATTGTAAAAATTTGTTCTAATCAATGACTAAAGAATACAAGGACTAAACGCCCGAGACGAAATTATTACCATACCACCAAACAGTGCCGTGGCACATATTTTTCTTAACTTAGCTGCTTGAGGAGATACCCATACAGCACGTCCAAATGAAATTACGTTTCTACAAGGGAGACACATGAGAAACCAAATATGTTAAAGTGAACCTAAGTGTTCATCTAGTTCTAACATATACATATGAGATACACGCAGGTTTATATTGATAGAATTGTGTGATGCAGTGTTTACTAGTTGTATACCGTATGCACTCAAGATTTTAAAGAGTTTTTTGTAACGTAACATATAATTATTAAAATGATGAAATCTGACGTCGGTATATGAGACATACAATGTATATGTCATATGTATGTGTGATACTTCGTATCATAGTTGTGCTTATAGTACACACCTTGTAAAAATGTGACTTATACACATAATATAAACTTCTATAATATAGACACTTTGTAATAGTGTACTGTTGTGTCTACATTCTAGCATGAAATGAAGGTGTGCGCACGCGCGGATAGCCTCAGCGTAGACACACCGACTAAGTGTATCTTATATGTTCTCTCTCCTTTCTCCTTTCTAGGAGTTGTATGTGTTAGCAGCCGTTATTGTTTTATCATTCGGAAGCTCTATATAAATGTTCTGTTTGTGTGTAGTTTAAAAGAGATTTTAAGGTAACCACAAGTTTTTAATTACCTTGTTACACCTTCCTAAGGCCCGCCGCAAATTGAACCCAGCCCACCCACAGCACACGCCCAACCCATTCTTGATTCCACGCACACGTTTTCCTTAGCACCGCATATTGAACACAGCCCAGACCCAAGTTTTTAGTTTCGATCATGAGTGAATACGAGCAAGTTCTTGATTTAGAATCAGGATCCGAGAACGAAGAAGGACTTGTTTTACTTCATTTGCTTAATAAATAGAGAAAAAAATAAAAGAAACGCATATTTGCTTAAAAAGCAAGCCACGAAGAGGTTAGATTGTCTAGCGAAGTTCCAGACAGTCTATTTAAATATGTAGTATGAACTAATAAAAACAGACTTTACCGGTAAGGAATGCAACGCCCAAAAACCTATTGGAAGTGAAGAAAAACCAGCGGTTTGTCGCAAAAGTCGCAAAAGTAGAAGGGGAAGGAACCCACGACCCACGAAAACTGTGTCTGAACGCAACTAGATCCACGAAAAGGCTGTGCTAGACGTGGAGTGTGTTTAATTTGCGGTACTCCCTTCTTTCCTGTTTTTTTTACAAAATTCCCCACGCATGGGTTGGGCGTGTGCTGTGCGTGGGCTGGGTTCAATTTGCGGCGGGCCTAAGAGTATTATTAATTATACAATTATACAACAATTTACCAAATTTTGACTCCAATGAATGAAAACTCCAAATATTCTCGTATAATGATAAAGAGGTTAGCTCTGCAATATAATTTTTTTTTAATTTGGAAATAATAAAAATCTAAATGGACCAGAGAAAGAAAGATCAAAGAACTTCTTACACTGATATTCGGTAAGTTATTGATGGATCAATATACAGGTATGTTTAATATTCAATAATCAGTTTCATATAAAATTTAAGGGTGAGATTGTCAATCTGAGATTGTTAATCTCGATGAATGAATATGCTAACAAACCAACTGCTTGGGGGATAAAGAAAAGAAAAAAATGACTAAACGATGTCCACCAAATCGTGGCGGTATACCAGTGTCGACCAGTGTTTGCCATTTTAGCAGGGGCGGATACAGGAATTTATTTTAGGGGGGGTCCAAAATAAAAAGTAATGTAAAATATGCTTCTTAGGGCGTCATTTTTAACCAAAAAGCCTAATATTTAACACAATTTACAGATTTTAGGGGGGGGGGGCATGGAATCCCTCTGTATCCGCCACTGCATTTTAGTATGTTGTTATACTAGGTACTTATATTTTTAATACATTTTGATACAAATTCTGTTCTTTTACAGTGTTTTCTTACATCTGGTTTCTGCAGTTTAAATAATTATTATTATTGTGTTGTTTGCGCTATTGCGTTCCACGATATAAAGAAATATAAGAATTTTATTTTTAACCACTTAATCCATTTTATGGAAGAAAAATGGTACATTTAATACAAAACAAAAATGGAACAATTTTAAGGCTACTTCTCTTGAACTTGCGATCGAGATACTTTTGGAAAATACAAAATTTTGCCTTCCTAATTTTCCTTCTAAAAAGATATAATTGGTATCATTCATAAATATTTCTTAAAAAGAACGAAAAGTTAGGCATCAAAACTTGTATTATTTCCTAAATTCGTTCATAAGAAGTAGTTTTATCTAGCTATAAGATGTATATACGAATCAAAATACATACACGCGTACACGCGTATACACGCGGTAGTCACAAATGCAATGTGTAAATAGAGTTTAAACGTAATACACAAGCACTGTGTATTCTACGGCACACTGTGTATCCCTTACTTTGTGTATACGTAAATGCTATACTGTAGCTACATTGTGAGGCGGACGTTTAACCTTTGTGCATACGTGTTGAACTACAATGTGTAAACGTAGCATATTTACATCGGGGGAATAATACCAAATAAACTTTTAGTCACGTGACCAGCACAGCGTTGTTCACTTTTATATACTTTCTTTTAATCAAAATATTTTTTTTTTGAACAAAAATAAATTAATTATATATATATATAAACAGTTATTATTTACATCAACAAAACCTCTTTAACAGCACTTAAACGGAACTAAAGGGTCATTTACTACCGCTTTCCCGTTCAAAATATTCTAATAAAGTTGCGATGAGTGCTCGGATGAGTGTTTCGCAACGGCTATTAAGCTATCTTGTACACTTCCCACTACAAGAGGATCTAAAAGAACAATGTTCGACTGCAAGGTCTGCCAGTAAACATTTTCAAGCTTAAAGTATCACAACACTATTTATTTAAACCAAAAACTCGTAATACAACACTAAAGTGTCAAAGCGAATGACAATGTCAGGAAATAAATAAATAAATGCGGCAACTTGACATTTTTTCAGAAGAGCTGCCGCCTGAATCCCCAGCGGGAAATTTAAATTCCAATTAGTCAGCCCGGCGTCGAATATGTCCATGGGTGGCAACACTGAATTTAAAAATTGCGTCCTCGATTACGTAACTAAAAGTTTAATTGTTATCAAATATACGTCATTTACAACCACAGAGATATTTTACAATTGTTTGTACTATATTTTATTAAAAAAATATACGTATACTTCTAAATCTGATTTGTAAAAATAAAGAATTAAGTTTTTAAGCCTTGTTACGTTCATTTAAAGGTGGAGCTTCCGGTTCTTCTCTGGCTGGTGGATCTTTGCTGAAAAGAAACTTGTAGATCAAGGCGGCTACGAAACTACCGAGGAAAGGTGCCAACCAATAAAGCTATATAAAGAAAAAAATAGTAAAGTTAACTAAGATGTAAAGAGTCAATTAAAAAAAGACAAGGCAAGAAGACTTAGCTCACGGCCACACAGAAAGCGTTTTTTTGCTTTTTTAGCGTGAAGCGTCTTTAGCGACTAAAACAAAATAACAGGATTATATAGGAGTGGCCACACCAAAAGCGTGCAGCGTTCGGCGTGTCTCGCAAAAAACGCAAATAAAAACAAATGTTTTCTGTAGCGTCTTTAGCGTTTTCTAAGATGAGACCCCGTCATAGGCGGATGTTATATTTAAGAATACAATAAAAATAAATTAAATAGTATGCATTTTTTTTCATTTTAGGGTATTATCTAAAAATATTTGTATAAAGAACATCTACTGTTTAGGAAGATTCTATTAAATTCAAAAATTTGAAGGAAATGTTTGAAAAAGTGTAGTTTGAAATGTTGAAAAAGTAATAAATTAAAGGAATATTTTCTTCCGCGTAAAAAATAGTTTTTTACGTTTAACAAATAGTTTTTTACACGTAAAAAATATTTTTTTTTGGTAAAAAAGTTTTTTTACGAGATACAATAATTACAGTTGAGGGTTGGAACCTTTGGTGTTACACAGCAAAATAAAAACACTAAATCACCACAATACACCAAAACACTTTTACTTTTACACTGGACGCGCGTTTCGCTAACCATGTTAGCATCATCAGCAGATGATTATAAACTAAAGTACAATCTACAAGTTGAAAGTACAATCTACAAGTTGAAAGTTTTTATAATCATCTGCTGATGATGCTAACATGGTTAGCGAAACGCGCGTCCAGTGTAAAAGTAAAAGTGTTTTGGTGTATTGTGGTGATTTAGTGTTTTTATTTTGCGAGATACAATAAGTTTTTGACGCATAAAAATTAGTTTTTTACGTGTAACAAATAGTTTTTTAAACGTAAAAAATATTTTTTTACGTAACAAAAGGTTTTTTTACCAGAAACAATAAGTTTTGACGCGTAAAAAAATAATTTTTTACGTGTAACAAATAGTTTTTTACACTTTTGTTGTTTTTTTACGAAATGTTTGAAAAAGTGTAGTTTGAAATGTTGAAAAAGTAATAAATTAAAGGAATATTTTCTTACGCGTAAAAATTAGTTTTTTTAAGTGTAACAAATAGTTTTTTACACGTAAAAATATTTTTTTTGCGTAAGAAAGGTTTTCTACGGGAAAGAAAACGTTTCTGAAGAGTAAAAAAAGAGTTTTTTATGTGTAACAAATAGATTTTTACACGTAACAAATAGTCTTATACACGTAAAAAATAGTTTCCTAGCAGTAACAAATAGTTTTATACGCGTAAAAAACAGTTTTCTACCAGTAAAAAACTGTTTTATACGCGTAAAAAAATAGTTTTTTACGTGTAAAAAATGTTTTTTTACCCGTAATAATTTGGTTCACTTTTACAAAATTTGTATTAAAATATCAATATTTTTGATGAACACGTGGACTGCTCACAAATACACGTCGCGTCACTACGTATTTCTAAGCCGTAAACACGTTTCGTTACAACGAGCTCCTGTGTCAGGGCCGTCTCAATAGCTCGTATGTCACGGCTTTGAATTTTTACTCCCAGCGCGCGTAAAGAAGTTTCACTCCAAAATGTTTCATAAATAATTTCCTAAAATTGCATTAGCAACTAGAGATATTTACTATTCTATTATATAATTATAATTATTTATTATATTATAATTTTAACAAGTACTAACCACAACACTACAACATAAAAAAAACTATACACATATAAACTAAAATTCCTAAAATAAATGGCAAATAATAATTATTATTTTTACATACACCACTGGCACTAGCAGTAGATTGTGTTTGTCTCCGAATATAAGCCCCGGCCCGTCCACAATTCAATCCCAGCATCTTTTATCTTCGTCTCTTCAACGCTAACGGCGCCGATCTCGCCTATCTCTTTCTCACAGGATTGATTGTTGGACGGGCCGGGAATCCACGAGCTTGCGACGTTACTAATTGACATTATTGATAGAAACTGCAGACCTGCCGCGTCTTTTGCGTGTTTTTAATGGACACAAATCGAAAAAAGCGCTTAAACGGTAAAATCGCAAAAAACGCTTGAGACGCAAAAAAATGCAAAACGCTAAAAACGCTTTCTGTGTGGCCGTGGGCTTATACTAAGGGCTGGCAAAGGTTAGTCTTGGGTCGAGATTTCCGTATGTAAGAAGAGTACAGTGCGTTTATAATGTACTGAACAAAGAGAGGACAGTAAACACGTTGCCAAACGTATGAAATAAACCGAGAAACTGTGCACATCGTTTAGAGACGTGGAAGGGGATATAGCAGATTTGTCGCAGTTGACCGGTCAACCCAATCATCCAATCAATACCTCTGTCAGTACATAAAGTTCTAGGGAGAGGTGTACGTCATGCATTCAGCTTCACGATTTAATTACGTCTCGTGATACTTGATTTGTTTATTTATTAACGAGTCGTTGTAATTTTCCCTATAGCTTGATTTTTTTAAGTGCAAGCTAGAAACACTTGCATTTTTGGTAAAAATAAGTGGAATTGAGTGGGTGGTCGATAGTGGTCACGCTATTAGAACTCTGAATTCAAAAATCGATATCTCGAAATCTATTAGAAATAATAGTTTGTAGTTTTTTCAAGAACTTTGTTAATATTTCTGGCTGTATTTTCTTTGTAGAGAGTATGTGACAATCTGTATCAATAAAAAAATTACACGATTGCTGAAAATTGCTATGCTCTAAAAGTAAATGGATGGATTGTTTACAATTTTTGAATGGAAAAAACAACCTTATCGAATTTTTCTTATGTAAACATATTGTAAAATATCCGATCTTGAAAATAAAAAAAAAGTTTCAATATCTAAAGTGGTTCTTGAGTTATGGCCTGTTATGTGTTAAAAAGTTGAGTTTTTAAATTATCGCGATTACTGACGTTTTCTAGTTATAAAAAAAATGACACCCTAACCATATCCTTATAATTCCATTTCAGATGCTCAGAAACATTACAAACCTAATGATTTTATCTAGTTATCTCTTGAAAAAAAAGTCTTTTAAAAATAAGCAGTTTGCGATCGTGATTTTACTTTACTTGATAGGGAAAGACGTATCGGCAACGCCGCAACAGCACACAGTCGGGCGTCGCGTCTGTCGGTCGCATTTCTCTCACTCCGACTTAATAAGATCCATATGCGATTTACTTCCACACATGTAAATGCCGACCCAAAAGTAACAGTTGCCAGCACGGTATAAGGAACTTATATAAAGAATTCTAAATGTATCAAAAATGAATCAAGTTGAAAGCAGTTAGACGTTTACAACATCATCATCATTTTCAGCTTATTCAACCATTTCCAATTATGGTGTAGCCTCACTCACATATTTAGATAATCTCTTTGTATAGTTGGGCTCATTGTTGTCTATTGTTGGCTATGCAGGCCTAAGTTATCCCCGATAATTTGCACTTACCTAGTGATCATCCCAGTCTCCATTGAACAATGCTGGAGCCAGACTTCTGGCGGGATTCATATGGGCACCAGTGTATGGACCCTAAAAATTACAAAACGTTCAAAATTCCCATCCCAGAAATATTAGGTATATTATTATAATAGGCTTGGTGCATTTCAATTGATTTCAACAAATTCCGACCGCAGCGCACTCTACGGCAGAAATCAGAAATTATCAATATATAATTCACGCCGCCGTCATGTCGATCGCATTAAAATAATATTGAAATCGGGGCTTTGTCATAATATTTAACTATTTCAGTTTTTTGTTAGTGCAGTTATTGAAACTATAAAACACTCAGGTGCGAGGTTTGTGTGATGTAACGCTGTTTCTGGTAGTAAAAAATAAGTGAAAAAGAATTCGAACTAGGCATCTCGTGTTGTGACAATTTCAACTGTAAATAAAATTACCCAAAAAATGTTAACGCGTAAAGGAGAGCGTAATTAGGGCGTTGTTGGGTGCAATAACATTCAATAACTCAAATTTCCCGGATATTTAACTCTCCCGAAACAACATTTTATAGCTTAATAATTTGTTACGCACCGATTTGATCAATAGCAAAAATGGATTCAAGCAGTTCGACGAAACAAGTGATTAAACAAAGTGCTCGTTACATAATCAAAAAATTAAATAGACATAATATACTATGAGAGGATGAAATATAATTTGCAATATTAATGGTACACTTTTTTAATCAACTAGTAATTAAATGTTTTATGAACATCTTCTAAAACGATAATTATGTACCTTTAAAAATTTCGTTAACTCGAACTTAGAATTTCCACATATTATACTTTTTAACACTTTTATAATAATTATATACTCGCTATTTAAACCGGTATATTTGTAGACATACATCAGTTATTTACGATATTCTCCGATGATGGCAGCACCGGCAGAGAATGCACCAAGCCTACGATGATTTATATACTTACAGCTGTCATTGCTAAGACAGCAATGGTAAACCCAAACCGTATAGTCAGCGAGTCGAGCTTGTTGCTGTTTCTTGGGTCCCAGATGGCGCAACATACCCACGACAAGATTGCTGTGATGATAAATTCAACCAGGAATGCTTGGAAGCGGGATATTTTTGGGTTAATCGCGGGGGAACATACTCCGGGAACCTTAGCCGTACTAGTACGATTTTTGATGTAATTCGAAGGTGTAACAACCTAAAAACCATAGAAAATCTACATAAATTGAAATGTAGCACTGTGCAAATGTGCACATCACTTTGAGACGCTGTGCTGGACTTCCTTTTATGATCATATTTATATATGTTACTGTAAATGTCCGAAATGCGGTAAAACCTAGGATTTACCAAAAACAAGTGGTAGTAAAAACAAACCAACCCCACCAAATAACCACTTAATCAATGCATTAACACCCCCCAAATAACCAGGCTAACCAATGCATTAACACCCCCAAATAACCAGACTAACCAATGCATTAACACCCTCCAAATATAACCAGGCTAACCTAATTAGTTAATGCTTTTGGTAAATCTTAGATTTAGCACGCTTATTCTAGGTTTTACCGCATTTCGGACATTTACAGTAACATATACATTTATTTTTAATTTTTACTTATGTTATGTTCATTAAAATCAAAGAAGCGATTGCCATATATTACCACAGATTATACAGATTATAATCTTTGTTTTTTCTTTATTATTTTTCGTGGTTCCAATTTTCGGAATCGGGCACTAGTTAGGTGACTAGTTTGCGCACATAGCACGCCCACTTATGGCCTCTAAAATTGTGCACAGCGCCTGACCGGCACAGTTATTAGAGAGATATCGGAAAACCGAATAGCGTCATCCAGTATTTACGCGTACCTTATCATGGTTACGATATGCGCGAGTCAACGCAACCCCCTCTAATTGTTGTCCTCCATTCGCGAACTTCGAGTTCCGGGCTTTACGCCCTGAGGCTACTCGAGAACTGACTGGAAATAAGCACTTTAGCCGTTTTGTTTTAAAATACCTAGTAAACAAAACAATTTCAAAGTTTTAAATTCAAAGTTAGGTTAAGTTTAAATAGCGGACGCGACGCGATCAGAATTCTTTCCGATCCGATAACTATAAATGAAGAGAGTTAATACCACCTCACGTAAAGGAAATAACACTGGCCTTATTAACGTCCATGCACGCTATTCGGTTTAGCGATATCTCTCTATTACGCTGTTTATTGTTATTTTACGCGAGTTTATTTTTGCGCACAGGAAATTTGACTCGTTTGCACATCGTCATAAAAAAACAATTTTCGTACCACGAATTAGGGACAAGATTTTTATCTGTATACTTATAGGATACCTAATCTGTGATATTACTAACCTACAGATGCTGGAGCAATACATTTATTTTTATTAGACTGTAATTAAAAAAACTTCTTTTATTTTTGTTTAGCGGCTAATAATTTTTGCGTTGTTAAAATCCACTCTGTGCCCTGTGTCCCATGAATGCTGACAAATCTTAGATTCGTGAAAATCGCCCTTTCTTAAATAATCCTTACCTATGTTCTTTAATTCGAACATACAGGGTGGCGCCTCTCATACGCCGCGGAAGCTCCAAGGAGAACGGTACTTTATATCAAAATAAAATTTTGGCAGCATATGTAGGTTAACTGAAAGCATTTTTTAAAAATATATAGAATTATACAGGATGTCCCCAAAAAAAGTTACACATCAAAGTTATGTTTTTTCTAATGGAACACCCTATATATTAATTAATTTTAGGATTCTAGGAAAAAAATAAAGGTGAGTTTTACTAAAGAAGCATATACCTAAAATCTAAGGTCTAAATTTTGTGAAAATGAAGAGATTTTTTAAATTTCGATAACAGCTATCTAAATTTTAGTTGACCTTGTATAGCCTGATATTTACTTACAGTAGCCATTGTATGTTTAACCAAATTGAAATTTGACCCGAAAAGTTATACAGGGTGAGACAAAATTAATATGGAACATTAATCACTTTTAAAAGCAAGTTACTCCTTTATTTTAAATGGAACACCCAGTGTATTTTTCCGCTGTTCAATGGGGAATTTATATATCTTCAAAATATTATTAAGGTTGCCTACCCTTCAGACAAAGATTTTTTTTATAATTTTATAATTATTTTTTTAAGATTTTATAATCGCTCTTGGAGTTAGCTCGAACCGCAGTAACCGCATAGCGCCGTGTTTCGCTCCAGCCGTCGCGCTCCTAGGGTCGCGAACAGTAACTGGAACTGGTAAATACGTAGCGTCGCGCGATCTTGACCGCTTCGTCTGTCGCGAATAGATGTAATTGGTAACGACCTACGTCGTATTTCGCTCCAATATCAGTGATGGCGCGACTGCTGGAGCGCTCGTGGGGGTCGAGTTTTCGTCGGTCGCGAACAGTAGTAACTGGAACTGGTAAGAATGTAGCGTCGCGTTTTGATCGGTCGCTGTTGGCGTTGATGCTCCTGTTACAGTCGTTACGTTACTTTCGAGATCGCAATTTACGGTAGGTCTAGGTACCAGGCATTTTTGATTGATAATAAATACATGTTAGGTACATTAGATAGTTACAAATAAACAGTTTTACAAAAATAAGAAAAAACAAAGAAATATGACCGAAAAAATAGGGAAATCTGTAAAGCTACTTTCAACCGATTAAAAATATAATCCCAATTAGAGTTATACATATATAGTCTTCAAAGAAAGAGAATTACATTTTACTAACATACGGGAATAAAGTAAGATTGATTTTATTTTGATTATTTGACATGAACATTTTAACTTTCCACTAATAAGGAATATTATTACTATACGTAGATAAAAACATACACGCAGATAAAGAAATTTAGCATATGGCGTAGGTATCTCGAATAATGATTCAAATTATGTTACTTTTTATTTTTTGTGTTGGAATATGCCTTTTTTCCATAGCAACTGTTAAAATTGCCTTATATCTATCAAAAATAGTAGATAAAATAGTACTTTAAACGCAAGGGTAGATTAAATGATACTTTAACAGCGAGGATAGGTTAAAAACTGTATTTCTTCTCGCACGTTTTTTAATTGCTTCCATTTTTGAAAATTTTTGTATTCCTTTTCATAAGTTATTCGGGATTTAAATGGAAGTAGTCTAGAGATGGCGTTTGTCGCCTCAACCTGAATATCTGTTGGTAATTTACTTGTTTCCTTTTGAGCCATTTCTGGCTCCAATTCAATCAGCAATCGACACGAAAGAGAATTAGAATTAGAATTAGAATGAGTAGGAGGGGGGTTAATCACTTCGACCTTACAGATCCATTGTGTCCCCCTTTCTTGAATCATAACTCATCATACAGTCCCAGGGCTTTGACAAAAGCCAGTATCTGGGACGGTTTTATAGAGGGTAGTTCTCCATCTCCAATATCAGTCGTACCAAAATTCATGGCACGAATGGTTGTCGTCTCGGCGCACTCAGTGATGAGGTGTACTGGTGTTTCACTATCTTCCCCACAGAATCTGCATTCGCCGTTTCTTCTTAGTTTCAATCTACTGAGGTGTTCATTGAGGAGACAGTGTCCTGTTAAACCCCGTGACAATCCGAAGATTGTTCTTACTCAGACCCAGGAAGATCTGTGATTTTTCTTGATCATAAGCCCTCAGAAACTTCTTCGAGTGTCCTAGACCATTGCAAGATTTCCATTCCAGGTTGCGGATGGAATCTTCCAAGTTCTTGAGTTCCGCCTTGAGTTGGTTACCACTTGGAAAGCAGAACGGTTCTGGTCCAGTTAGTGGAGTGTTCGCTCCTTTCCTAGCTAGATTATTTGCTTTTTCATTGCCTTCTATCCCTTGGTGAGCAGGCACCCAGTGTAGGAGGACTTTGTTTTCTTTGCCTAATTTATTCAGCTTCTCTATGCATTCTTTGACCAATTTCGAATTGATTGATACTGAGTTGATCGCCTTTAATGCTGCTTGACTATCAGATAAGATGGCTATTTCTTGTTTCCGATAGTTCCTATCTAAGATAAGTTGTTAGAGTTGTAAAGAGAATTAAAAAATATTGACTCAAAACTGACAACTAAAGAGACAGCTTTATTTATTTGTCAAATTACATAGAAACAAACGCCAACCCAGCACAATAAAATTCATTGAAATAATAAATTTCTGAATATTTTTTAAAACGTAACTCGCTATGGAAAAAAATATTCTTTTATACACGACGATAAAATTGCATTATCGTCTCCAGATCTTTTCGGTCCGAATATTTTCGGTCGACGATAAAATTCCAAGACGATAAAATACCATTTTATCGTCTTGTATAAAAAATAACTATTAAATATCTGGAGTATACCATTAGCAATCCAAATCCCGTGAGAGCTCCAAATAGTTGTCCAAGGAAGTATATGGGAAGCTGCATGAGCGAGACATTACCTAATACGAAGGCCGCTAGTGTTACTACTGGGCTGATATGAGCTCCTGATATGTGTCCAAATATCTAAAGAAAGAAGAAATTAGGCACTTACAACTTAACAAGTATAGCTAGAGAAGTGAGAAATATAAAATAACACGCGACCGGTGCTATCCCCAAGTCTCTTCCTATATTTGTACAACTGTACGTTATTTTCCGTAATATATATCCAAAACAGGAAAAAATAAATAAATACCACTCACTTGAATAGCGATCAGCACAGCGAAACCAAAAGCCCAAGACATTTGCTCGTCAGAGATGACACCGTTTGACGTAATCGCGCCCACACAGCCCATACAACCGAGGAACATGAGAACGGCCGTACCACCTACCTCACCAAGGAATAGTACCACCCTATCCATCCAGCTCATGTCGTCGTTTATCCGTAGTTTTTTACCTGCAACAACGCAAAACAATACTTATTATAATACTTTAAAATCAGTTGTTTGTTTAAAGGTAGAAAACAAGGATTCAATTGATACATAACTGTCTACTGCAGATGCGTAGCGTATAGCGTCAAAACAAAGGGATGTAATAAGTAACTGCAGTTAACGAAAACGTTCCGCAAGGCATAACGGGCAGGGTTTTTTTTTCAAAAAATCCAAAAACACGTCAATTTTTTTTGTGAGGGGGGGCAAATTTTGTCCCAAAAATGATTGCAAAATCTTCAACCCTCTAAGCGGGGGTGTCATCCCCCAACTTTTTTCAAATGGGAAGGGGGGTCAAGTGGCGCAGCAATGAAAAGAGCTTTCTATTCTCTATATTTCCCCGCTTCGTTTTTGAAAATCGGTCGAGTCATTGAGAAAATACTGTGCGGTAGTTGCTAGATAGCTGTTCTGTGACTTGTGCGTTGAAGTTCTTATCAATATCGTTAAACTGACCCACAACAGAATTTCCAAAAATACCAGCCCACACGTTCAATGTCTGAGGTTTTTTTTGTGTGTGCACCTCGTGAAAAACCCTGGGGTTGTCCTCAGCCCAGCACCGACAGTTGTGCCGATTAACTACACCGTTCAAAAAGAAAGTACACTCATCCGAAAAACACACATTAAATAGGAAATTATTATCATTCGCCACTCGTTCACTCATAGTTTCACAAAATTGCAAGCTACGATCAAAATCATCTTCGTTGAGTTCTTGTACCAACTGAATTTTGTACGTGTGGGTTTTTTTAATATCCTTTGGACACTTTACGATTACGTACGATTCACGCCGGTCTCATTGGCTAATTTTCTTGTACTCAGCGTACTATCCATGGCAACTTGGCCCAATACGAATACCTCCATAGCTTCATTTTCTACAGGATTTTCCCTCTGCCTTTTTTTATTCATAACGGAACCAGTTTCGCGAAATTTGGCTACTAACTCGCGAACAATTTTGCCATAAAGGTGTTTGGTTAGGATGGCGTTCATTGAATATCTGCGCAACCCGATATATTCATTATTTTTAAAATAAAGTTCGATTATTTCCACTTTTTCTGCAAGTGAGATCTAGAAATAATAAGAAAAAACAGCAAATTGGTCGAATGAATTTATTCTTATCATTTACTCTGATAAATGTTTAAATAAACTTTTCAAATTTTAATCCTTCATATTTTCTCAATGACTCAACAGCCTTTCAAAAACGAAGCGGGAAGGTATAGAGAATAGAAAACCCTTTTCATTGCGGTATCAACTTGACCCCCATTCCTATTTGAAAAATAATTGGGGGATGACACCCCCGCTTAGAGGGTTGAAGATTTTGCAATCATTTTTGCGGCAAAAGTTGTCCCCCTCACAAACATAAATGACGTGTTTTTGAATTTTTTGAAAAAAAAAATTACCCTGGCCGTTATGCCTTGCGGAACATTTTCATTCAAAAAGATCTACCAGTTCTACTTTCATTGTTGCGAATTAATAAATTATCAGGGTGCGTTTATGTTACTATGCAGTATAGATGTGCGTTTTTTTTTGTAAATAATAAATAGCACTGAGGTTAAGACGTCATTTAGATAAATCGCGATTTTTTAACGATAAAATAGTGAATTATCAACCAGCAAGTCAGATTTTAAAGAAACATGATTCGGGAAGATCTTCCGCAAGTACTTGGGCCTACAGCATTCTGAGCAATACACTGACCATTGTATGAGAAGTTAATCCGCTACATTACTGGCAAATGCAGGAGTGAATATATGACAACGTTAAAAAGACACGGAGGATGGCGATCTGTAACGGTTGCGGAAGGATATATCGAAGAGTCCATCGACAATAAAATAGAGATTTGCGAAAAAGATTCAAGGTGCTGTTGTGCTGTAGATGTTCCAGAACGAGCCGTTGTAATGACAGAGCCTATTTCAAGCAGTGGAGGAACAGCATCTGGAGGCATAGGTTTTACAATTTCTGAATCTACAAAAAAAAAATCATTTTCATTTAATGTTGATGTTAATTTAAATAAATAATTTAATTAGTGATTTATGAATAAAGCTTAATAATTTCTATAAAATCATGTGGCTTTCAAGTTATAATCATTGTCTGGAAACTTATATGATGAAATTTTGATAAAATAATTTAGTACTCACTAAAAACACGGTATGTCGCTAGTGGTAGGAAAATAATTTTTAGAGTTTACTAGTTTATTTGGTTGCCTGTGATATGAATATACAGGGTGTTTCCTAATTAATCTAAAAAATAAAAAATCGTTAGAAAACGGGTTAAGGCGGACTCTTAATAAGTATATTTATTTTTTTCTCGCCAACCGTTTGATGAACAAGAAAAACTCAAAAGATCAATTTTGTTGAAAAAGGATGGCCAGTTAAGAAAAAAATATATTTTCTTAAAAAAGCAGTAGTGTACCATTTATGTTAAGCAAAATATCGATTTTTTTTTAATTTTTAACACCCTGTAGATCAGAAAGGAAGTACTTGAGACCCAATGGTTATATAAAAATTATTTTAAGAACACATGAGGAATCACACCACAATTTTTTAGACTAATTAGAAAACACCCTGTATATTGTCAACTTGACAATGATTGTTGATAAATCAAAACATACCTTTTCTGTGAAAAACGCCCGATTTTTGCAGGAAAAATTTTGGTTTTTATTGAATTTGGGTCTGCGTCTGCAAATACCGGTATGTTTTTTAATATTCTATCTATCTAAATTTTAAATATCATAGTTAGAAATAGTTTTAATATTTATTAACTGTAAAAATGGTATATTTATAAGTTTTATCAAATATTGTGATTACTTTCTACCTTGTAGTCAAAATTTATATTTAATAAACTGTAAAATATATATATTCTTATGTTTTATTAAAGTTACTCTGATATACTAATATATCAGTGTAACTTTAAAACTAAATCCTTTGAAATCAAATATAAACATAAAAAATATTTACAGCAGAAAAGGCGAAGGCGCTGGGTTAAACGTAGTCTCTACTAAGAACACCGAGGGGCGCTTTGACCCAAAATTTTACTATTAAGTGTCATATCTATCTTAATAGAAGATTATTTTCTTTTATCTATGGTTATAATACACTAGTTTGTTATAAAACTTCAAAAACTCACGCGTGTGTTCTTATTTATTTTATATACATGTATACATGTGAGTAATGTCTGCATAAGTAGTGGCTAATGTTAATAAATTAAAGAAATTAAATATTTGACTCACCGCGCGGCATTTTTACACTTTTCCTCGTTCAAAAACTAGCGGCAACTACTAAATGAAATTTCAGAAAGACATCCACGAAGAAGAATGTGTCAAAGCGCATTCAATATTTGTTCCCATGCCACAGAAAGACCGTCCCCATCTATAAACCTCGTACACAATCACAAAACGCGATTGAACTTTTTCAAATAAGATGACATAAAACTGACTGGACTGACTGACTTGCGATGACGGCGATATGACGGCAAGGGTGTCAAAAAATAGTGTTATCAATACTGTTAAAATTGCCTTATATCTATCAAAAATAGTACTTTAACCGCAAGGGTAGATTAAATGATACTTAAATACAGCGAGGATAGGCTAAAAACTCTATTTCTTCCTTAGAATAAGAAGACTAAAGAAGGAGCATAATGCTATCCATGTATTCATGCAGGGTGGGCGGAAAAAGGATTCTAGGGTGGGGATCCTTGACAGTTCTGTTTGACGATTCGTTTGACACATTTGAATTTGATTTGAAATTTTGTGGATTTGTCAGTCTTTACGGAGCTTATTATATGTTATTTATTATTTATTCTACTACTGATAGTTGTATAAAGGTAGTAAATCTAGATGGAAATTGTGACAGAACTTAAATTAACAGTGACACTGCCGCGATTTATCGAAAAAGACTCTAAAATAGATGGTTGTGTAGCGTGCGGTAGATCTCGGCAAAAATCTAGTGAAATAATGGAACAACTTTTCGCTAGTAAGTGACTATATAATATACATGCATATCGGATGTTTGTGTTAAAAAGTAATTATTAAAACTTCTATATCTATTTATATTATAATAATATGTTTTTATAACAATTTTAATAACTACCAACATTTATTCTCAACGTAAAATAAAAAAAAAATATTGAGTCTACCCGACGTCTACCCTACATCATAGTTTTACATTTTTTAAATAAAATTAGAACGGCACTGATAAACCGGAATTTAAGTCGGCCATATTTGAGTCCTATCGCGGTGGACCTATGATTTTTGATATGCTCCTTCTTTAGTCTTCTTATTCAAAGATTTCTTCTGGCACGATTTTTAATTGTTTCCATTTTTTTAAATTTTTGTATTCCTTTTCATAAGTTATTCGGGATTTAAATGGAAGTAGTTTGGATACAGCGTTTGTCGCCTCAGCCTGAATATCTGTTGGTAATTTACTTATTTCGTTTTGCGCCATTTCTGGCTCCAATTCAATCAGCAATCGATACGAAAGAGAATTAAAAAATATTGTCTCAAAACTGACAACTAAAGAGGCAGCTGAAGGCAGCTTTATTTATTTGTCAAATTACATATAGAAACCAACGCCAACCCAGCACAAAAAAATAACTATTATTTTGGCCAGATCTAACATTCCTTAAAATACTTGCATTCATTTCTGGGACATCCTGTATATTTTTGTTACGATAGGACAGTGCCTTCTATTAAAAGATCAGCCTTGGGGCGAGATTTATGACGTCACGCTAGTTAGATATAACGGATTAATAAATATGTTGTAGAATACATGGAAAACATAATTATTCCTCAGATTTTTGGTTTGTATTTTAAAAATGATATAGTTTAAATAAAATATACATAATATACAGTTAATAACTACAACATATATACCTATTTATAGTAATAAATACTTTGGCAAATAAACTATGAACCATACAAATGCAGCAAATGTTTTACAATGTACAAATAATGTATAGGTACATAAGATAATGGGTAAAATGTAAATATATTTTAAATTTTGGGGTTTGAAAATCGATCTAATTTACAAAAAACATTTAATATCTACTAATAGTGATGTATTATTATTTGCATTCACAAAATTTATATGTATATTTTGCAAGTATCAATGTTCGAAAAATTATATTTACAAATAATACAATATTATCTAAAAAAAGGCGTCAGCGATGGCTATGAAATGAAGATCGCTGGCATTTTATATGTTAAATTATTCTAAAATTTTTGATTTTCTTGGGATTTTAGGTTCGGGAAAAACGCTGACTAAGTTTTCATTTGGGTTTTCATTATTTTTATTTGGTTTAAAAAAAACGTTTCGGCTAACTATAGCCTTCACAGTGTTGTGTCATATGAGAAAAATAGTGTCGAATATAATCCAAAAAATTACATATACAATATAATTCACACCTCATAATGTTTACTGCAATTAATAAACTAATATAAACTTATCAAAAGATGACCACATATTTTTTAAAATTATTATTCTTAACACTAAAATTATCTACATTGACTATGGAGTACGCAGTAAACATTATGTGCGTGGTGTGAATATTTTATATGCAATTTTTGGATTATATTCGACACTATTTTTTTCATATGACACAACACTGATGGAGGCTATAATGTTAGCCGAACCGTTTTTTTAAACCAAATAAAAATAATGAAAAAACCAAATGAAAAATCAATCAGCCTTTTCCCGAACCTAAATTCCAAGAAAATCAAAAAATTTAGAATATTTAGAATCAAGGTTCAAGAATATCAAATTTTCCAAGATTGTAAAATTCTAGTTAATTATTTTATGTGTACAGTTATTTAGGGAATGTCATCGATGTTCATTTCCAAGCCAACTAGACGCCGATTTTTTCGATGATACGGTATAATTCTTACGTAAAATGTAAATAACATTAGACCAATTAAAACAAAGAAATATGAATTTCTTAGTATTTTTAGTAATACCTTTATTCTTAAAACTTAATTTTGTATTATGCAAATATACCAATTTTATTGTTATTTTATTCATATTGTATTCAGCCATCACTTAAATATTTGATATTAATTTGGTATTATAAATAATCAATACTATTCATTAAAAATTACTGAACAAATATATGTTATGCTTAACATACATTATATATTATCAAACAAAACACATTCTTCTTTTTAAACTGTATCAGTCTTGTCTTTACAAAATCTTTTTTAAAATTTGAACTCAAAATAATAATCTTTTTTTCATGATCTCTAATACACATATTCTTTATTTTTCCCTAGTTCATAATACCTACTTACGTGTTTGAATCTATCGAAGCTGAACCAGCAACACTTGGAGTGGAGATTCCACAATATGAATAAAATAAACATAATTGTCCAGTTTTCATTAATACCATCATGGGAGAATATTATTTTTAAATTTATTAAAGATATTTTCAATAAAATTCTCTTGATTTATAACTCGTACCCACTTTTCTTGCTCTTCCGGACACTTTAGGCTGCCTAGTATAATAACTATCCTTTCCACCAGGAACACAACAAAGATGAGGCATAGCACCAATAACACACTCCACTTAAGCTTTATTGATGAATTGTTAGAGTCTTAAAAAACACACACAAAAATCACGATAAGTAAAAAACGTATGGGCACTTTTAGGTTAAATCACTTGCACAACGTGTAATTTTTAAAATTTCTATTTTTTTATGCGAAACCGAGAGTGACCATATATCTGGTAGTAGTTTATGTCACTTCAACACCAAAATAATTAGTTTTTTGCACTACAATAATAAATAATACCAAAAATCAAAGAGTTAAAACCAAAAATCAACCGACAAAATATGAAACGGAATCTAACCCAATATCTAAGTATGTACAGCTGATGAAGTAAACAAAAGTCCGCCCGTAGGCTGATCTTTTAATAGAAGGCACTGGATAGGAGATGATAAAAAGAAAATTCGTATGGATAATTTATACGTAATCCATCTACATTCGTATGCCACAAGTAGGCATTAATTCCTGTACAGTTTTCTGTAATTCTATTTGAAATACATCGTCTATTTCACATTAGAGGGCACTCCAATCAATTTTTTTAAATTAATGGTTTAAAGTTTGAAAAAAATCCGCACCTCATTTTTTACGATACTTTATTAAAATATTTTATTAATTAGAACACAGGGTGTTCTAGATATAAGAATCCACACTGCAGAGATCTTGTAAAATAGAAGAAATTAAAAGATGTTGATATTAGAAAACAGTTGCGCCTTACTGAACCCTACAACGTCATATTTTGAAATTTAAAAAAATCCCGAATTTTTCCGGCTTCGTTTTGACCCTCCAAATACAATGATGTAACACCTTTGTCCAAAATATAATGCCGGGTCCAGACAAGGTGACAAAAAGTAAACACGATTTTGAGACAAAAACAAGACAAACTTGCGATAAGAAATGGGGAATTCTGACAAACTTGAGACAAATTGTCCACACCGCAAGGACAAAAGTACAACAAAGTCAAAAGTTCAGTTGTTGCGAATGAGTTTTATTAACCATGTGTGATTTCACTGGTCTCCTACTGTTGGCAACACACGCCATCCACACTGCGCCAACAACTTGTCGTAAAATATACGAACAAAACATAGACACTTTGACCGACCCGAGACGGGACATTAAAAACTCTGCGAATTTTGAAACAAAACAAAAATGAGACAAGAATGTCGCAGAGATATATTGGATTTGTCGCAATTTTGTCGTAAAACATGAATGTTTCTTGTCGTTGTTTTGTCTGCTTGGTCTGGACCCGGCGTATATAATTTAAAAAATAGATGTAAAAAATGTTATAAATAAAAGTAATATACACAAATATATCGGTATAATAGTTCTAATAATTAGCGGATTTTGCTGATTGTAATAATTCATAGCAATTACTAGGCCGATTAGTGTAATTGCATGCAATTATAAGTAATTCAACGTGAATCGCTTGCTTATCTCCTTTGATCTCCATGTCAAGTAATTAGTGCAATAAATAATAGGTAATTTTTACTGTTTTTATTGTTTTTTAGAATTTTCATTGTTTATGCATACTTTTGTATTGACTGAAAACATATACTTAATATTATTTATTGAAAATAGTTATAATTTAATGCATTGTAAAGGAAATGGTTAGGGTGAAATTATTAAATATAATACAGGGTGTCTCAATATTCCGTGGGCATGGAAATACTACGTATTTTTGGTATTAAAATAAGTTCATTGGACATAATAAATTTATACAAAAGTGCTTCGTTTGTCCGCTAGAGGGCATCAAATTTTAAAAAAATCTCACTTTTTCAGATATTTTAATGACCGTTATTCCGATTTGAATGAGATTTTGGGTGTCTATGTTTTGTTAAGTGCTTTAACATTATTTGACTTTTACAAAAATCAAGAAAAATACGTGAAAAGTAGATATAGTTTTGGAGAAAACATTTT